AATACAGAGCGGTTAAACTTAAAACGTGTACTAATATGAAAGATAAAATGGCTTTTTCATATGTATGAAGGTATTTTCACAGGTGATCGGTATTCACCATTTTTAAAAAACGCGTTAGTAAATATGCTAGATGATGTGCCCTTAAATGTTGTAAGATTTTTATATTACCAACAAGACGGTGCACCTGCCCACAATGCACAAGGGTAACGCAATATTTAATGATATGTTCCCGAATCAGTGGATTGGGACTAACGGCCCTATTTCATAGCCCGTCAGGGCGCCGCATTTAAATCCATTAGGTAGCAGCAATTGCAAGGGTCGCTCATAAAAAACCTAATGGCAAATTTCATAATCGGAACGCGTAATTTATTGTAAATGATTTAAATTTCCATTTATTTTATGCACATTATTTCGTAAAATTAAAACACGTTACAGTATGGCCTCAAATTACTAGGCACGTGACAACAATACCGAAATTTAGTCGGCAAAATAATTCACTAAATTGGTCATATTAAAAAAATAATATCGACATCTTCATTAAAGTCATTGTGTGGCAATTAACGATGTTTGTTTCGCGTAGATTTGAAATTCTCGTTTGGAAATGTAAAAAAATATTGTTGCTTTCATTGGAAAATTGTAATTGCTCAGCGTGATGTGTATTATCATAAAAAAATAACTATTATTTGGAAAAGTCCTGCTGTTTGCTTAGGATTAATAAATCGGTACACGGTTATTTATTTTAACAGGAGCGACATGGGTTTATGTTTTTTTTCGATTTTGCATTTATGAAATACGTTTTTCAAGTTCACATGACTGAATAAGCCTTAAGTGACGTGCTATGGAGATATTTTTGTTTCTCTTTTCACTTTACGTTCGACTTTACTCAGATTCGAAATCTGCGTATGCTCATCGATAAAGCCAACAATTTCGAATAAACAACATAAATCGGATTAAATTACTCAGCATTATGGGACTAAAACGTACATACTCGTAGTATCGTAATTTTCAGGTGTATGTTGAATGTCCTTCGCCAAAGGGCTGTATGACCCTGATTGAACGCCAATACCGTTACTCCTGAACTATAGGCACCACGAGAAACAAGTGTATAATCAAGTCTCCACTCCGCGTCGTGCTTTTAAACTCGTTGCGCGTGCTTTAAAGACCAATTATATACACGCGTACAGTATTTACCAGCAATATAATTTAAAAATAAGAGAAATAAGGTGAAATCATATTGACCGGAATACATTTCTAATTAAGTGGGTTTATTATTCGTAAATCCATGATTGCCATATAAACGTCACTTGACGTTTTCTTATAAAAATCACCATCTTTGTAAACAAATGACTTTGGTTGAAGAAGATAATGCACCGTCCATTCAGTGGCTTGCTGCAAAAGTAGAAAAAAGTTGGTACCTGCAAAATCCAAATGCAAAAGCCTATTATAAAGAATGTGAAAGGTTGTTGGCGTGGATGAATAGAAAACATCTTTCGAACAAAGTCGAACAGATTTGGCAGCATACCTACTCTAAACCATTGTCTAAACCACGTGCGTTTGTGAAAACTTCCGCATTTGCAGAATGCGATCTGAGAGGATTTTTAGCGCATTTTTGAAAAAAATACGCTATTATACTCGTTATGGCTGGCAGGCCGGCTGTCCGCGTGAGATCTCCACAACTACAATAGCTAGAGAATTCAAATTTTCACTAAAAGCTTTCTGCTATAGTGTAGATGTGCAGGCACTAGTCTATTTTGAGTTAGATTACTTGTGAGATCGATAATTGAAGAAAATAATTTCGATATGGGTTTCGGAGGTGCTATAATTTTACCGTTAGATAGCGCTACCAGTATAAAAACTTATTATTTACTTTGTGATTTGTTTTACAAAATGAAGACGTACCCTCAATTGAAATTAAATAAAATTAATTATTTAACGCAGCCAAAATTACTCCTGAGATCGATAATTTTAAACTTCGCTAATAAAATACTGACCTGCATTACCAAAAATGCGCTTTAATCATGCATATGCTGATTTACAACTTGTTTAATTCATTCCCAGATTATAGTTTCATTTATCATATTTGAAGCATGGTAATTTGAAGTAACGTTACTTAGGAACCTGTAAAGCTCGGTGTGTTTTAATCGCCTCTTTTCGCACGCGCTGGTATGTAATTTCTCATGTCGTGCAAGTTTAAAAGATTGTTGCGTTTCCACGCCGAGAACACAATGGATAAACGTCTGCACCGCCAGCTGTTAAATAAAGCTTTCTGGAACCGTAGAATACGCGAATCTTATCAACGGGGCTATATCGGATTCGGGTTCTTGCAAAGTTTCGCCCGATTTTTGCGTTCGATTCTTTAATTGAATGTAATACACCTGCTGCAAATGCCTATCTCCACACCGAGCTTTTAGCCGTGACACAATTCTCAAAACCTTGTTGCTGATGTTTTGGAATCGTACGCAAAACATTCCAACGCATCTCCACGGAATGCAACTATCAGTAAAATTGTCTTTTCTTCTGCTGTCCATTTATTTGTAGCGGTAGCGGCCTCAAACTGTCTCAAGTAGGTGGACCACGATGATTTTCCGTCGAAAGTCTGTCACATGGTTCTGGGGCATCTTTGCAGGACCATTATGGAGTAGATCTTGTGTTATCACAGACCACACATCACTTTTTTCATTAATAACATAAATCGTTTTCATAATTCTGTATCTCATCTTGAATCATATCCTTTATTTCTTGTTTACATTTTTCAATTTTAGCTTCTATCTCAGCTTTCATGGCCTGTTGACCGGTTTTCATTTCAGCGTGACCAGATTTGATTTTTTTCATTAGCTGGAGCAGTTGTTCTATTTTTCCTGACGTAGATTACTCACATATACACAATTTATAACAGCGCGCACTATTTATTATTTCGGTGTTGAAATTGCCGTCGTTCTTTATCGCTGATGACTAATCTTTCATGGCGCCTCGATGTCGAGATTTCTAGAATAGTCGCTACAGTATCTTTCGATAATGGAATATTCTTTGCAAATATTCCAAAAATAATATAGGAGATTGATACAAAATTAAATCATAGATCTTATAGCAAAAGTACTTGAGAATCCAATAGTAATGTGCGTATTTCTCCATTATTATTGTATCCTTGGACGAATTAATCATCGTCGAATCTCATTTGACATTAAAAAATAAACTCTAACTCAATGAGCTGGACGTATGCCTCTTTGTATCGTAGTTTGAGAATCATGCGTCAGCGCACTTTCAAAATAAGATCAGAAATGACCAAATCTGTATATGAGAGGAGCCAACTCAGGAGCCAACTGGGGAGCCAAGCAAACAATTGAAACAGATTGACACTTTTAACAATAAATATATTGTGCATTTAGATGTTGAGGTACTTAGTCCAATAATTCTATTTTCAAGAAATAATTAAAATAAATGTGTTTTAAAACTACATTTAAAGGAACGCACAATGCTTAAAACTATTTTGCCCTTTCGGAGTCAAAAACGTTGCTGAATTGCACTAACATTAAAGTTCTTCCAACAGAAAAGTATAGTAGGAGGTCAGCACTTTCCAATACAGCTGATTGAATTTCGTAATGCTTTCAAACAACAATTACATCGTTTCAATTCGGTATTTGATATTTTCGACTTGCTCATAATCAAATTTACCAAATGTGCAGCCAGATATAAGGGAGTAATATCTGTTTTTACTTTGTTTGTAACTACAAATGCAACGTAGGAATAGTAGAACCTTTAATGCATTTAAACTCGGGAAGCAGCATACGACGTAGTCAATCAGTTTTCCATAACAAAGACAAGACGCGAACCGTATAGAGGATACCTATGACAATTGATCTTATTTGTTGTAGGTATATAAGTTTCTGGGTGTAGGGAATTGGCCAGGGGTTGGGTGTAATCCAATATTTTACAAATGTGATATTACATGTTTTTATTGCGAAATTGATTAAATTCGTGTATACTAGTAAATTCAATTCAATTTTGGGTCAAGGCTATGTACTCCTAATCAAAACACAAATTCAGCAAACATTTACACCAAAAATGAAAGCGATTTCAAACAATAAAAGTTAACGGCATCAAACACATGTTTCTGCATTGAGGTTAAATCAAGTCACCTTCAAAAACAGTTATTGGAACCCACAAAAATTATAAACTGTTGCATACAAAACACAAATAAATTATAAAGACCACTACCTGAATTAAATAACAACAAACGTTTACGGAGCGATGCTTTCTCAACCGCCATTAAAAACAAAACTTTCGCTTCTTCGCGCGGCTACCAACTCTCAAAAATGTGTGCATCGGCGTAAGTTGTATATATGGGGTGGCGCCTAGTTTTTTTACTCAATTGCGCTGCTAGAAACGTGGATTTCTTCTTAATGCGGTATCCACACTTTAAGTTTTTTCAAAAAGGGCACTAACTTTCTTTATAAATAGTCTATCCCACCACCGCCTGCTTATTCCAGTCATTAATAACTCCTTCACTCACTATTCTGATTAATTGAACACGTCTACCAATGTGTCGGATTGGACTCGTTAAATTTTTTAGTTGTCAATTCAGACCCCTCTCCTCCATCAAATTGTAGATTCTAGATTTTTCTGCAAAAAAATACAAATCCAAATAAAGTGCTATCGTTACATACCGTTAACGGATAGGCAAAAAACAAAGAAACAAAATAGTTTTCCCTCAAAAATCATCACAGGGTAACTGAAAAATCAGGGTATCAACTTCACTATGTACGAGTACCTTATTGGTTTGACTATACTTTTCATTTGCTATTGAATTAGATGGATGTGTACAAAATTAAAACGTATTTAGTGTTGTACAAAAATATGGTCAAGTGATAACCGAATTGTAATAAAAACCTGAATCACTCGTGGGGCGGTCAAATACATACACACATAAATTCAGATAAAAGGAACCTGTTAATTTAAACTGATAAATGTATAACTTATATTTGAATGCAGTTGCTTGTTGAGCGCGTTTGTTTGTACATCGTTGTTTCAAACTTCCCCAAAAAAGTGATTTGGTGTTGTGATGGTGCATAGCGAACAAGGAAGGCGGATGTTTCATGTAACAGAACAGCAAGGTATGGATTTTTTTGATTTTTTTGGAAGTTTTAAAAGGCACATTGTCAATGGAATCTTTTGATTTCTCTGGAAGTTTTTAAAACAGTGCTTTAAAGCGCTCCGCCATGAATCATTACCGTTTTCATGATGGGTTCATGGCGAGGTATGTCTAAATCGTTCTCGCCGTACCATACGCTGTGCATCTCTGAAGCATTTTTGCATTTTTGCTTTTCAAAAAATATAAGAAGAATATCTAAAACCTACAAATAACCTAAATGTTCATCTCTGCTGATGCGGTTATGCATTTTTGTAAGAAACATAATTTAGCAAGTGCATTTGGTTGAAAGGTTGACACTCTGTGCACCTGCCAGTATTTATACATATACAGGGTTAGGCAAAACTATGGCAACTTCCTTATATCTTTTCAGATATTTATTTAATTAAAAAAATGTTGTGCAACCGTGAATTTTTTCACGGACACTATAATTTCCTTTAATTTTTTGAATACAGGATGTTTTTACATATTTAACCATGATATTTTTATATCAGATCGTATAACAAACCACAAAAATTGATTTTAAAAGGGCACAGCTTACTAAAAGTGAGTTCCGGCATACTACAGACACGCGTAATTTTTACTATACACCATTTTTTAGGATAATTTTTGTTATACGAATGGAATGGTACGTTAAAAAGGGTGTTAGAATTTTTTTTCAAATATATATGGATAAATTAACGCGACGAAGGGTGAAAATCGATCGGCCAAGCAAAACAGTGAGTGATTATTACTGACCATTTCGTTTTAGAACAGGTGTTATCTCTCTTCCATATTTTTCGTGCCTTAAAAGAATCCGGATAGACAGTTAACCCCAAAGATTTTCATTTTTCAACAGTATGCAGCAATTATTTTAGGCCTAAACGTGTCTCGCAAAGATAAGAGGCCTTAAAGAAGGGAAATTTATTTGTGCAATAATTTAAGGGATTCGACATAAAATGAATCGCAACACTCCACCGAAAAGATTAAATTTGAGCGTAGCCATTTATTGTTAAATAGCATTTAGCGGAACAAATTGGTGTAGTTATACTCTGAGGTGTAAGGGAAGTGAAATCGCAAACTTCGTTGGGTTGTTCCCAATTCGGTACCCCTTAGCGCACTTCAGACGTTACGTAATGTTCATAAGGGTAAAACTATAAATCATGGTTTTATTGTAATTGAGTCAAAGGGAGCAGCTGCATGATACAATAATCTCACCCTCATCAACCTAAGAGTGAAGAATTTTTTCTTTACGTAAACTAATTGCGCGATTATGTAACGTATTTGAAATTCGTTTGTTTTTGCTTTGAAACTTGTGATGGTAAGCCAGCAAATGTTCTCATTTAAGAAAAATCTTTTTATAAAGTGCGCACTTTTGTAACAGACGAAAAACCTACAAACACTGAAGGAAAACACTACTTAACCTGTAACATTTAGAGTGTAAATCAAAGTAAATCCAGGCCTGAGAGCAGACAACGAAGACAAATTATCCGTCGTTGTGCATTCTTCTTAAGCTTAAGTGATATAATCAGTTTTCAGGACAACAAATTCTGCAGGCACACTGAAATTGGCATCTCGAATTAATTCAATCTTTCGACTTTGCGAATCATTTTTGGGGACAAAAAAGTCTGAGGTCATCCGTTCGTATCCGCTACATCTTTCAATTAAGGTAATTGAATCAACGTCAAAAGAAATCTAATTCACCTTAATATAAGACGATGCTTAATCTGCTATGAAATATGATTTAAAGCTAAACAATGGCATTCCCTATTTTTACTTAGGTATATCCCCGTAACATTACAGTTAATTAGTGGCGTTTAACCAAGGATTATCTGTCAACATAATTTAAATTTTGTAGAAGTATATTATGTAAACGAAGATTTTAATCCTTATGAAGGTTTTATCTGGAACTTTTTTTATTCGTTCAGTTATACACAAACGGAAGTAGGGCACGCGATGCCTATTAACTTGAATAAAAATAGGCAAAAAAGGCGCAATAGTCGGGGCGATAAATACAGATTTAACTGTAATAAAGCTAATTGCATCTGATAATTAACACGTCTATTAATTAAGCGAAATGGAGGATTTTAAGTGCTCCGATATTTTCGCACTGATGACAATCCGCGTTCTTTGGGATTAGCATTTCGATCGCGAACTTACTCGAATCGAGTTTGATTTTTTGCATTTATGCATGTGGGTATGACCAGTGTATATTTTGTGTTTATGCCCTGTCAGTAAATAGACCATTTATGTAGCATACGTTTAGTGGAACACTAACGGAAAACTTGAAGAACTAAGAGGATTTCCTAAGATTGAGTTTCTCGCATAGATTTGAATCATTAAGGTCGCGAAAAGTGAGTGTCAAGATAATTAAATTTTGTTCGGTAGATAGATAGATGGATGTCACAGACTACGGTTGCATTTACATGCACCCGTTAACTGTCGATAACTCGATCTGTCAACAGTGAAAAAATAACATTGAAGGTAAAAACTAAAACCAATTCAAAATATCCTTTTTCATGATGGGACATTTGATTTTGATTAAAATCCGAAGGCCGAAAGTAAAAAAAAATTAACAAATCCCGTAACGGTTTATGGGTTTAAATGGTCTCAAACCAATTCCCAACATGGACCCGGAAATCCTTAATCAGCGATACATGATTAAATTAAGGGCATGGAGACTTATAGAAGCATTTCAACCACCGACGAAGAAGGCATATTGACAGATCGATAATTTTGCCGGAGAAGTAATGCACAGGCGCAAAAGCGACCTGTAAAGTCAGCCGCGTAGCGGAATTGAACGGTACAAAGAAACGGTTACATCCGCTTTTTTCGTGTAGACCGCCTTTTACACCCGAGGTGGGAATGGGCACCTCTCGCATTTTTGTAGGCAGCATTTTTGGTATCGACCGCCTTTTCCGTATCAATCGCCGATTAGCATTAACCGTCTTCCGGAATGTAAATTAGTTCTTAATAAAACGAGTAAAAGTGTACCTATGTCATGTTTCCAATTGATAAAAATTTTAATTGTAACCAATAATAACCACAACTCCATTGAAACTCTAAGCGCCATCGATTTGTTTCATGTAGGTAATGAATTTGTAATTGTCACATTAACAGTCATTCCCAACCCAATTCGGAAAACATATCAGGTTTTAATACTAATCTCTTGCTCATTCAATGGGTTTGGATGAAATCTTGTATCTTTGACCACTTGAGAAATTCATTTCCCTAATAATAAACTTTTTGCGCATGGATAAAGAACCTTATGACACACTTGATGAATAAATAGCTAATTGAAATTTTGATACATTAAAAAAGTCACTTTCATTCTGAAAAATAATTTGAAACTTTTTAATAAACAAACTTTAATCAAAGCTTTCCAGCTTATGGGCACGCCAAAGTATTATTTTAAAATAAATTTAATTTCTTTTTAATTAATTATCGAGATCAACAAACTCGAAACCAGCTGCTTTCGACACGTAGTAAGTTTGTAGTTTCTAAACTTTAGATTGCTTGTATTAGTTATGTGCGAAATTCCTGGAAACGTATTGCATCGACTTATCGGCAACGTATGAGGAAAGTATGTTGCACTTTGATTAACTTCTGCTGCAATTCCGTGCGATGGAGTTGTGTTCAAATGAAAGAGAGCTAAGCGATAATCATATTGTAATATGTTTATGCTCTTGAATTAGCGGTTTCTATTACACTGTGTATGGAAACCAAAAACGATTCGTGCAGAATAGCATAATCAATTTCATAACATGTTTTAGTATAAAAAAAACATTCAAATAGTTTTTTACCAAGCGTAAATGAACCATACAAGATATTCTTTGTTAATTGACAGAATTAGCTGAATTTCGAATTAGAACGAGTTGCCATTTCTTGCTGGGAAATTACGTAAGAGTTTACAGATAGTTTAGGGGACATTAGCCATTAACATGATTTTCCATAGGCATATATAAAACCAAGGTACAAAGTTGTTGATAACTATTTTGAGCACCTTTGCTCTCAATTTGTTATTCAATTCACGCTTCGTTTCCCTATCAAAACTATTTTCTCCAAATATCAGATTTTTGGAATCAAAAATCAAATGTTTTAGCAAAATCAAACATGTTCAACTAATGCCATTGCGTCAGCTACCGTTTTCTTACACCATGATCGCGAAGGAGTCTATTAGGGTAAAATATCATTTAGAACTGGTATCGCCTCGCAGTCACTTCTACCACACTCAATCTCGGAATCCCCAGCACCTACCCCGCTTTGTTTTTTGACAATTTCTCGTGCGAGATAAGCGATGCAGTTGTTTTTGTGGCGGAGATGGAATTTAGAGTGTCGTCGGTAATAACGACGTTGTTTTTATTCGAGGAGTTGGTTTATCATGCTTACATAGGAAGAATGAATAGTAAACAGGGCTGTCTCGGGCTTTTTTTAAGGCGAGCGTAATTGTCTGTGACGATTTTGGTACCGGTAGTCCAGCTGGTTGTTTTAAAAATACATCTTTGTTCTCATATTAGTTAAACAATGCCGAAACAAGTTTAATATTGTGAAGAGGTGTTTTTACTCATGGAGATTCCAGTTTAAAAAGTTTGTGTTTATCAAGAATGAAGAAACAATGGTGTAATACCTACAAGAAAAGTCTTACTATCCGCGAAGTTACAAAGTTAAATGTTATTGTCTTCAATCGAGTTGTGATGTTTTAAAAGTGAGTTGTTTTTGTTTCTTAGAAGAATAAGTCAGATTGAGATAGTACTTATTCCAACGAAAAGGTTAAAACCCTTCCCCCTTACTTTTACGTATTAAGGTTCGCATTTTTGTGCCTCCACTAGCTAAAATATAACAAGAAAACTTTACCTTACGCAACAGGATGCTTACTGTAAATCTTATCTTATCGAGTACAGTACAATATAATAGTCACTTGATACGATACCGTTGTCTTCTCGCAGCTTAAACGGAACCCATAACTTTGTACCCATATACGAAAAC